TCCTATCAGAATCTTGTCTCTCACATTCACTTCATGCCGATTCCCTTCTGTCACAACCGTCTGGAAGAGCCCTTGAGATGAGGCGCGCACAAAACGACCATACTCCTCAATCCGGTTGTGACGGCCACAGCCGTGGAAGCAACAAGGATCTGCTTCATGAAGCACCTGCAGGCTGCTTCGATGCTTTTCAAGCGAAGCCAGCACATACAAAGCAGTATAGTTCCCAATCCGAGCCCATTGGCTGTCGCAAAACTGCTCGAAGTCAAACGACTTCTTCCGGAAGTCGCATGGCAAACTGCCCGCGATGGGCACTGAGAGCTCAATCCGCGGATCCACGGCTGCAGCCAAAGTGGTGGTCCAACCACCCCCACTGAGACCAGCCATGAGAATACGCTCATAGCCAAGCGTGTTCATGGCGTAGTTGATGGTCTTAATCACCGGCTCTAGGAAGAAACGGAGCCATGGCACTTGTTGCTTCTCAAAGTGTTCGAACCATGCATGGCCACTGAAGGGTTGCTCCTGCTGGGTGTTGCAATCTCGGAAGGGCATCATCATCGTGACGACATCCAAGCCCAACTGGTTGAGCCAATCGGTGGTCCCATCGTTATCTCCAAAGGTGGGACAGTCATCGCCACGGCCATGTCCCCGATGGAAGATCACCAGGGTCTTCCCCGGTCGGGGCGGCTCAGGGTGTGCGGGCTGCTGCGCTCCCCAAATGAACCCGTGGGGCGCCCATCCAGAGCTGTTGAAGCTCAAAAAGGCTTTCCTGGCCCGAAAAACACCATCCCGAAAACACGTGTCTTTTTTCAAGTCGGAGTAGCCTTTCCCAAGAGGGATGGAAACATCTACAAAACTTACTTGACAACCACCCAGGTTCGAAGTAATGTTCATGGCATAGCTCGCATTGAGTCTTGCAGTCGTCTGCCACACGATCTCTGTGATGGGCACGGTCTTCTCACAGTCGCTGCTTGGAGCTGAACCCCAAATGGACGACATGCAGCTGGGAAAGCGATAATTCACCATGTGGGTGACCGGCGGCACCGACGGCTTGTCGTCGCTGGGCAAGCGATCTTCGCCGAACATCTCCTATCTTGAAATCATCTCAGAATTTGACTGGAAGAAAAAGATGCATTCTGTCGCTTGCTTTACTGCAAAAACCACAAGAAAAGAAAAACTCTAGCGACTCTAGCTGGTCTCCTTGACGAGCTGTCGCCGCACCTCCAACCAATTGGGACTTTCTGGCAGGAGCGTGTATCTCTTGCAGCCATCCTTTGAGGAGCTATTGGCAGGGCAGAAGTCATCAGGCCAGCCGGAGCGGCAATCAACCATGGGGGCAGGCGTCAAGTTCAGTGATTCTTGAATGGCCTCCCCTTCATGGAAACAATTTCATGTTATAAAGCCCAATATCAATATCCTTGGAGTCACTAGAACCATTTCAAGTGCAAGCATACCATCAAATTTCTGAGGAGCCCACAGATGTCGCAAGACACAAACCAAGGTGCCACAAAATGCCACAGGCCACAAGGTCTTAATTGTCTGGGAAAGGTCATTTGAGAACATCCGTGGCAGGTTGGGTTCGCGAGGGGTGATGGAATCAAGCAAAACTCCAGAGAAACAGGCATGCATGGTGTCCACTTTACAAAGAAAATGAACAGGACTCATGTCCTCCAAACGCAAACCATGCAAACCATGCAAACTCGGCAACGCATGGAAGAACCACTGTCACAATGTTGACCCATGTCGGTTGAGTCGCGGCTTCCTCTCGCACCAACAAGGGCCACGCTTGAAACCAAGATCAGCTCAGGAGCATGGAGAAGGAGTGCAGCAGCTCGCCAGTCACAGCGCTGTTGATCTCGATTCGAATTTCTTCTTCCGCCATGGCTTCTATCTTGAAAGCACCAGAGGCCACGAAAGATGTGGACCTTTTTCGTGAAGGGGTCTGCTGCTGACACATTCATTGACTCTCAGAATGGTAGACCTTGACTGAATTCCAAGAATTCACTTGTCAAGTGCCGGTCCATCCATGGACAGATCCTTCCTAGAAATGTGGGACAGGAAAGTCTAGATGATGGCAGTTTTCTTGGAGACACTGAAATCTTTCTCGGAGCCAACAGTTTTGCATAACCCTTAAGACAAACAATCACCCAAGAAGCTACTAGTAGCTAGAACCCCCTACTCTTCTACACCTTCGACCACCCCCAGTACTCAGCAGTTGACTTTCCTTCCGAACTCAGCAGTTGACTTGGTCGTTTTTCCTTCCGCTCCTCCGGCTCCTCCTCTCCAGCAGTTGACCACCCGTCGGACGCACCGGATAAGACGTAGCGTGACGCTGAGCCGTCGGACGGGCCGCTTCAGTGGCCGCCTAAAGACGCAGGGTGTTTGGTGGAACGGGCGGAACGAGGAGGAACGAGGAGGAACGAGGAGGAACAAGGAACGCGGAACGGTTCACAGCGTTTTTGGGGGACGTGAACTGGGGTGAACTGGGGTGAACGCAACCATTCGAAAGCCCCAATTTCTCTCAAATCCTGTGGCCTTTTTAGGGTTCCAAAAATGGCCATCCCGAAAATGTGGGGCTTTCGAATCGGACCGGCGTGAACAGGATCTGGACTGGGACTTCGACAGAAGACGGGACCTGTGGCTCAAAAAGAATTGAAGAGATCCACTACTAGACCGACCTCAACCGCCCCCCTTCTGGTGGAAAGACCACGAGGTGTCTCTGACCCAAACCTGTGAGGCCAGTATACCGTCTACATCGAAGAATGACCATCCTGCGAATGATGTAAACACGAAACCACAGGAAGAATGAACATCTCATCAAAAAAGAAGCTCATAAATGTCGCTGTCGCTCCCAGCTGGGCATGTGGATGTTCGTCTCAAGAACAGGGCTGGCTCTTACTTTCTCAGGGTCAATTTGGGAGGTGCTCGAGCTGAAGGGACTTCTTGGCACGTCAGCTTCAAGACAGGTGCCCCACCATGACGCCCATGCCCAATGGTGTGGCACGAGAAGACGTCTATGCCCCAAAGACCTCACAAAGCAAGAAAACGATGTCCGTTGTCCATGTCTCCCCAGCCCCCCCGTCACGCCCCACGCCCGGCCCTCCGCCTCACTACATTTGGCACGTTGTCGATAGCTCCCGTCACCTGAGAGAACCGTTGAGCTGGTTAAAAGCACTACTGAAGCACACCCCTTCAAAGGTGTCCTGAGTAAAAATGACGGTCGACTACACTTCCACAAGATAGGCACAGAGAGATGATTCTTGAACCCAGCTGCCAACTGGCCAAGTTTGCCAGCCATCTTGTCTAGTCATTTTGTGCCGATTTGCTTTAATGTGATAATTACGGCTCCAATTATATAGATCTTACCAAAAGAGCTCCCCAAATGACGCGCAATCCACAGTATCCGGCTTGCTCACTGTCACTCGGGGTCGCCCTATCCTGAAGCACTTACTAGCCCAGTACCATCAATACTGACGGATTCATCGACTCGAGGCCTGGATAGGCCCTAGGCCGAAACGTGAAACACCCTTCCTTCCAGTGAAGCTATAGGCTCTTTTAGATGTTTTTAGTACACTGCTCAGGCTTTGTAGATCAGCACGAACGCCGGTTCCAAGGCCGCCAACTCATAAACACCGACATGGCCACTGCCGGAAAGGAAGGTGCTGGAGCTCAGCGGGACTAAAAAGAAATTCCTGTCTTTTTTGCCCACTCGCTCACTAGCTGATCTTTTGTGCCAGGAGGCGACAAACCCTGATTTTATTCCATCGCGTTCTTGAATTTGTTTGCAAATAGTTGGCAAAAGTGCACTTTTGTGCGGTCTGTGGCTGGGTGCAGCTGTAGCCTGGGAAGACCCATCGCTTGCTTGACGTCAGTTCTGCCTCTGGACCCAGAGCCAAGCAGCTCGACCGGTCGCAGAGAATCGAAGAGATTCACTATTTGGGAATAGGGAGACCTCCTGGCCCTGGATGGGTAGACCAGTCTATGTTCCATCTTCCAGGGAGTCGATCTGGGAGACCTCCCTATTTTAAAGACACATTCAGTTCTATCTGTGTGGTAATTCATTGCCTGAAGATCAAAGTTGGGGTTCAAAGTGTTGCTTCTGCCAAGAGTAAGCTCCGCTCAGCGACACACCCAAGTACTGGGTATATATAAGGGCAGAATACCTCAAATGAACTCAAACATAATGTTCCGGCAACACCAAACGATTGCCAAAAACTAAAGTGCCCCTTCACCTGAGGAGTCGCTTGTCTTGCTGCTTCTTCTAAACAAAGCCTGCTTCTACAGGCCTTGCCTACAACATCAGCTCCTCTCTCCAACTACGTGTATATATATATATATAACCTCCTCTGGCCTGTCTCTGCGACTTAAAGCCATTCTTTGAGTGTCTACGTGTTTGTCGTTGCTCATTACGAAAGATGTGAAATGCCTCTCTGTCTCTACAGTATCTCTATCTATACCCCTCTTACCACATCCATAGCTTAAAAATGTGTAAAGGTTAAACACTTCCCGCCGTTGAATTCAGCCAGGCCAGGAACCACCGAAACCGCTTTTTTGCGCAAGCTTTCACCAGCCAACCGGCCAAAGAAGTCCGGAGCAAGTTAGCGGCTAGGCCTGCATGGATTCTTGAGCAACACGTTGTTACGGCCCAACAATGGAGTGGTCTGGTCCGCTGGAGAACATGCCCTAGCTTACAATTCATGTCCACCGGACTGTTGGAGGGAGTGCAAGGGCGTGACAAACGAGCATCGAATTGGAAAACGATTCTTGTAGAGACAAATGAGTCTTTGAGCATGCCTTATATATGATATACACGTTCCCTGTGATTTCTCATCCCTCGCATGATCCAAACGATGACCACTGACGGCCACTGCCATCTTGTAGCTTCATGATCAACCTGTTGTGCAATCCCCGGAAAAAAGAACAAAAACTTCAGAAGTCTTGGCTAGTTGCGGCTAGTTCATCCTGTAGCTTGCTTCATTCGTTCGACCAAATCAACCTGAGTTCTACAACATTTCAGGTCGTCCATTAGTAGGTCGTCCTTCGTCCTGCTCGGGGTCCCCTGAATCCCGCCAAACCTTCACGCCTTCCGGCGGCTCTTTCGCAGGGAGAAGCCCTCGGACGCATGTTCCAGGAGGCAGGTCCTTCACCGGATGTTCACCGGAATCCAACAAACACACACACTCTCTCTGATGAATGTGCCTTGAAAGCTCCGGTCGAACTGGTCGAATTTGGGAACTTGGAGCTTAGCTTGGAATTCGACCGGCCCAAATCGTGCGGCGCGTCGGAGCCTCGGTGGGAGGAAACACAGCGATCTCTGGATGTCGGGATTTCTTGGTCTCCTCATCTGCTCGGCAATCGCATGGCAACCTGATGGGAAAGGCGGAGTCGCTCGCCGAAGCCGATTGCGATCAAGCTGCAGTGAACCCTCCCCACACAAAGGGCACAAACGATGATAATGATTGTGATTATATATGATTCATGATTATCAAAGCAATAGCTCTGTGTTCCACTGCTACAGTAGCTGCTGCAGGCTTAAGCCAAGATCATCCAAGATCTAAACTCAGCCTCTTCATCCAAACGATCAGCTTGCTCATCTTGCTTGAGAATGCACTACAAAAACATGTCTCATGCCCTGCATGCGTGTGAACGCCCTGCTCTGGAATCAAAATCCCAGACTCAGAAAAAGAAATGACATGTCTGGAGCAGTACCTGGCGACCTGGTCCTGCAATGCAGCCTGCTGTCACACCACCATCGGAGACCGCCCGAGTGACCGGACGTACTTGCCGCACAACGAAGGGTCCATCCGGTCCCACCGACCTTGAAGTGCCATGTCGTACAACGGGGCAAAGAAGCCCTCGGGGACCTTGGATTCCACCTGGAGTTGAAGCCGAGAGTGCGGTCCCCGAAGCAAACTAAGATGACACTTGGGGGTAAGGTATAAGTAAAACATCGTGTGGCATTTGAGCGGAGTTTTGACCAATGTCAGACGACGAGCACCACCAACGCCAATAGCAAGCACTATATAACAGTCTGCCAGAGAGCAACCCAATGGCAGTGCTCATGTTACAACTACATTCGCTTAGAAGGTGAGAGGAGAGTGGAGATCCCCTTCTATGTTATGGGAAGCCAAGCACAGGGATGTACCTGTGATTGAGACGCCAAAGAACAATGCAAGACAAATCGACAAACCCTCAAAAGGTGTTGGGGAATCTCTATGCAAAGCCCTGCTGCTCCTGTTTTCCATCTGCCTGTCTTGCCGAA